GTGAAAGCCATTCAGCTGGATTTTTTCCCCCCACCTCCTCTCTGTATTTCCCAGCTATGAGATAGAGCCAAAAGTTTTGTCATACCTGACTTCAGCCACTGCGGAGGAGCACCCCGCTGGCTCTTTGCCAACAGAACTTGTTAATCGAGCATTTTCCTCCTAGCTCTGCTGCCATTTGCCATCCCTTCCTGGTCCTGGTCCTTCTCTGCATGTCCCCTCCCTCCCACCGAGCAGGCAGGATGCACGGCTAGATATTTTTCACTAGGGTGTTTTTCTTTACCGTCCCAATTCTTGAGCATAATTTCTAGGGACCAGGCTTCCTGGAAAAACAGCTGCACCCTGAAAAACGGTGGATTTTCTGTACCAGAAAACACTCTGCACTCACTTTGGGAAGGTCAAGGAGACTTTGAATGTGCTGGGCTCTTTAATCCCTTTCACAAGTGTCCTGTAATGGGCTGCCAGTTGCGACCTGCCTGTCCGCCAGCACCATAAAATGAGCTTCCTGCCCCGCGTGTTCTCCCTCCGTTTGGGCTCCTCAGGCTGCTGGAACAGCACACGGGAGAGGAGAGGTAGTGCCGCTTACAGGAATGAAACAAATGGGATAACAAAGTCCGTAATTCCTAGGCTGCTTGTTTCGGTTGAATAGCACTAGTTTTGTTCCTGGGGAACATCTCTGTCCTTTAGGCTCAGGCAGGAGGGGAGAGGCACTGAAAAATAGCTTTTACAGACATGTGAGAGCCAATAAATTAGGACGCTGTGGTCACTGGAACTGTTATTGTGGTTTAAACTGCTGCTGCTTACCCCATGGAAAGAAAGTGCTTGCTTTTTCATTAGGGGCTTAAAAGATTGATTGTTTCCTGCTGTGCTCAAGAGTGTGTTGGGAGATTTTCACAACCTGGTTTGAGTCTTTGGAGACTGTATGGATGCTGAAATATCCTTCTTCGTGCCACAGCCGCCAGCCTTGGTCTCATTTAACGTGCAAAAGACTGTTAATACTTGTGTTGCCAAGCTCAAATACTGGGCTGGGATGCCTGGGGTTAGTTGAATTGAAGCTGCTCTTTCCATTTCTCTCCTCCTCTGGGAATGTTTTACAGCTTGGCCCAAAAAGTACCAGGGGACCACCCATGGCCCCAGAGATCTGTGAGCCGAGGCTGGAAGGGGGTGCTCATGCCAGGAGAGCAGATGGCGTGTTAAGGGCGATCAGGTGTTGGCAAGGACGGGGCTTTGCTGCTGAGGGTTGTCTTGGGCCGGGCTGCTGTAGCAATGATGCCAGCCCACACTGTTCTGGGTTTTCTTCCCTGTTTTCTGCCGCTTTGACCCTTTTCCATCCCATCTCGAGGATGGGCAGCAACCCTCTGTGGAGGGAGCCACAGTGTGCCGTGAATGGGTTTTATTGCCAAATCTCTTACTGCGTAGCTTGGCCAAGTGACCTCAGGTACTCAGCTCTCTGCCTTCAGAACAGGAATAATCTGCTTTTTTAAATACTTGGAGATCTACTGTCAGAAAGCCTGTGTAAAAGCTAGATTTTTATTAACTCTATTACCAAGTGCCTCAAATCTCCCATGTCTTTATCTTTAAGCAGTGAGGTTAGTACTAGAAACTGAGGCATAAAAAGAGATTAGTGGGAAACATATGAATTTAAATAGTTCCTTATCTGGCCACTTTTATTCTGGCAGAGAGGTGCATTGCTTATATCACATTGGAAGAGATTTCAATCAAATTTAGAAAATGCTCTTAGTCTGGAGCAAGCACTCCTCTAGGTGATATTATGCTGCTGGAGCTATATTAATGTAATTGTACTTTTCAGAGTAGTAAAACCTTCCCGTATTGGCAAGACCTTAGCTTGACAGAAGACACCTCGGCAGCCCCAGGGCCAGGCTGCTCTGTGGCATCCATGGGTCGCTCTGTGCCCAGCTCTGCCCTCTCAGGAAGGAAAGATGCAGCTGGGGGAAGGCTGTGACTGAAATCTGCGGCAGCATAAGTATAGTATCAGTCTGCACACTCATATTGTCCTTGGCAAGTTCCATGACTGTAAACAGCAAAACATTCCAAGGCAGTCTTTTTTTTCTGTCTTGCCT